AGCCTCCTTGTATACCTCCTTTAGCTTCTTGTTGTGCAAGGCAGCCGCGCTGGGCCCCACAGACAGCAGTTTTGGCCTGGCCCTGGGGCCCAGGGGAATATTAACTTACAAGGCTATCGCTCTCTTGCTTTTACATGTCTGAAACTATTTCAAAACTTAGCAACTGAAATACAAGTTATTAAATACACTTTATTAGGATATAAAAAGTTCTTTTGTCCCCCTTCTCCTCTTTGGAGAAAAGCTGGTTGTAAGACTCTGGGCATGTCTCTTCTGAATATCTTCATGGACACATAGCCCAAGATCATAAAAAGAATTAACTAGACATGAAGCTGAGTTCATCTACGGTTAGAGCCTCCATGCAACTTAAAGGCTGCCCTAGGATTTTTATTTTTTTTAAATTTTTATTATTTTAATTTTAATTTTTAAAAAGATTTTTTTATTTGAGAGAGAGAGAGAGAACATGAATGGGGTGAGGGGCAGAGAGAGAAGCAGACTCCCTGCTGAGCAGGGAGCCCAATGTGGGGCTCAATCCTGGGACTCTGGGATCATGACTGAGCTGAAAACAGATGCTAAACTAACTAGCCACCCAGGCAACCTTGCCCTAGGATTTTTAAAAACCATTTTGTTTTAGGGACACCTGGGTTGTTCACTCAGTTAAGCTTCAGGATCTTGGTTTCAGCTCAGATAATGATCTCAGGGTCGTGAGATGGAGCCCCACAATGGGCTCCACAACCTGGGTCAGGCTCCACGTCCCAGGTGGGGCTCCATGCTCAGCGCAGTGTCTGCATCAGAGTCTGTCACTCCTTCTCTCTCTGCCCCTTCCCCCCAACCCTCGAAAATAAATAAATACATCTTTAAAAACAAACAAACAAACAAACAAACAAACCACTTTCATGAGTTCTAGTTGAGCGGAGATACCAGGTAGGAGCTGAAGTAGGAAAGACCGATTTTTTGGTTTCTGATTGTCAGAGCCTCCTGGCAGAGATATCCCGTCCCCTTCTTTCTGCCTGGGCTCTATCCCCAGGAATCTGGTGCCAGATAGAACAGGAGGCTGATTTCCTGAAACCTCTTGGAGGGTGTGAATTGTTAGCCCCTTCTGTGTCTGCCCAAGTGTGGCTCAGTGCAGACAGGCCCTTTCCTCTGTGTGTTCCCCTCCCTGGGCACGGGGCAGACCCTGCCAGGGCGGAGCCACCGGAGGCTGGGAAGTGTCTGTGGGTCTCCAGCAGCTGGAAAAGGTTTGAGTCTCTTTGGCAGATGTTTGCTGTTCCAGCCACTTCATTAATGTTGGAAACTAAACCCCTGACTATTCCTGACCAAAGCCCCACTTTGTGATTGACAGCCAGGGTGTGCTTCCTCCCACAGAAGCCCTTCACAGTCTGAGAGAAGGAGAGAGGGAGTGAAAAGAGAGAGATGGGAGCAAAATGGGAATTGGGCTAGATGCCATTGCTAAAAACCCAAAAATATCGAGGAAAGAGAGTGGCAGAGACACAAGTGAGGAGAAAGACAAATTCAGTACAACAAATTAAGATTTGAAGTCCCATCATGGGCTTGGGCCTTTCACACACATCGTGTAACGATCCCAGCTTTCACGCATTCATTTCTTTTTGAAAGATTTTATGTATTGATTGATTGATTGATTTTAGAGGTGGGGGAGGGGCAGAGGGAGCTGGAGAGAGAGTCTCAGGTGGACAGGTTGCTGAGGGTGGTGCCCCACCTGGGGCTTGATCTCACCCCTGAGATCATGATCTGAGCGGAAACCAAGAGCCCAAAGCTTAGTGGACTGTGCCACCCAGGTTCCCTTCATACATTCATTTATTTATGACACACTTACTGAAAACCTACTCTGTGCCAGGTGCTATGCTGGAGAACACACCAGGAGTTCCTTGACCAGGGCGTGAAATAAACACGTCCAGGTAGGAATCAACAGCCTTGGGGAGTGGGGAAAGATTCCTCAGCGGAGGTGACATATGAGATGGGTCCTGAACTAGCTTTTCAGGCAGTGAAGGAGGGAGGGACTGAGCTGTGGAGGGCATTCCCACAAGGGGAGCAGCTTGTGTAAAGGCATGGATTATGAAGGGCCCACCTTGTGAAGTAGGTAGGTATTACGACTTCCACTTATAAATGAAAATACTGAGGCTCAACTTTGATTATAAGTGGCAGAGAGCCGGAATCTCTCTCTCCCCTACACCTGGGACGTGAGGTCTTGCCTCCGTGGCAGAAAATCGAGAAGGTGGAAAATCCAAGGACTTGAATCGAAATTCTTAAGCTATTTGAAACACTGCAGATTTCAAATCAAAGAACAGTCTGAGGAAGAGTGTGAGCACATTCTGTGTCTGTGAGCAAGAGTCCGAGCCGGGAGCAGAGGCGAGGCCGATTCTCGCCCGACATGGTGACCCGGGCTCTCGGCGCTGTCCCCGCCGCCGCGAGCTGCCGGCAGCCTCTCGTGTGGCGGCGCCGCGACGCGGGGACCCGGGAGCGCGGCTGCAGATCCGCGTTTGGAGAGAGGGAAGGAAGAGAGGAAGAGGAGAAGGGGCAAGGGAGGGAAGAGAAGGGCAGAAAGAAAAAGAGAAACCAGGATGGAAGATGGGTAAAGAGAAGGGAGGGCGGAAGAGAAAAGAGAAGGGGGACGTCCAGCAGGGGAGGTGAGGCCCAAGTGCAGGTAAGAGTGGGGGAAAGGGAGGAATGGGAGGAAGAGGGGGAAGGAGTCAAGGCAGTTAAAGGAACAGAGAGGGTGAGACGGGGCGGGGCGGGGGGGGGGGAGATGGAATAAGTCTGGAAAGGGAGAAAAGGGGGTGGGGGGGGGGGGGGGGGGGGAGGCCTGGAAGAGTAACTCGGAGTCAGCCCCCGGCAGGACCGGACAAACAGTCCACACGGGTAACGCTCAGTCCCTCGCCAGGGTCGCCAGGTGTAAAGGAAAGGCTGTCGCTCAGGTGCTGCGCCCCAAGCACACTTCGAGGTCCGCGCTGCCGGTGGGGTCGCCCCCACCAAACACCGTTTCTCGGCGCCTGTCAACAACTCTATGCTTGCCAGGGGCAAAATATAACCACCCGCCCCCATTGTCCTCGGAGTGAGCATCGCGCCCTTGGGACCATCCCCAGCTCGTGGCGCCGCTGGTCCCCGCTGCGCCCGCGCCCTGGAAAACCCCTTGGGGAAGAGCGCACAGACAGCGGGGACTGCTGGTCACCAGAGCCCGAGGCGCTCCCGGGTTCATCGCGGCGACCTCGCTTCCCCACGGCGGGACGCCCGCCGCCGCCGGAACACCTAGCCGCAGTCTTTGCGGGCCTCCGAGCCGCCTGCGCGTGGAGGAGAATGAACGGAAACAATTCTAAACTGAGAGGAGGGTAGGAGTAGGGAACCTCGGCACACGTGAACACATCGAGAATGAAGAGCCTCAAATTCGCATTGCGATCCGTGTCTAATACTAGGCTCTAATTTGGCTGATCGCTATTTTCTCTAAGTGCCTACTTATTAGTCCTCCAGGTGTGTCCCTTCCGTCCGACATGAACCACCCACCCAGGGGCGCGCGTCCGCTTTCTACAGCGGCGACTCCGGCTCCTGGGTGAGCAGCTCTGCAGCGAGCCCGCTGCGACTCCGGGCCGCTTCCAGGTTTCCCGCGAGATGTCACCAGCCCCAAACTCGGTTTCGGAGAAGGCCATGTGTCTATAATTCTGTCTCCCTCTTGTGCGTTTTCCTTCTGGCCGGGCACACTCCAGTTCGGAGACAAAATCGTGGGAAAGCGGTGCCACCGGGCGGTTGTGGCCGACCGCCGGGCGGGGTGGCAGGACGCAGGCAGCGGGAGTCGTCCCGGGCGCCTAGACTGGTTGGGGGGTCGCCCTCGCCCACCAATTCCAGTCAAACACATAAGTTCGTACAGATACTGATTGGAACAGACTCGGAGGTTAGGACCCCAAGGGGAGGGAGGAAGGCCACCCAATAATGGCGTGTCTTCCGGGGCTCCCCGAACCTTAAGCGCTGTGAGCGACCCGGGAACGAAAGCTGCGCTGCCCCGAGCATCGGGCGACCAGAATCCTCGAGTGGGGCTGACCGCCGGAGGGCCCGCGAGCAACCCGGATCGCGCTGCGTTGGCCCTTGCGGCGGCGAAAACAGTTCATAAACGTTAAAACATAAAAAAGAACGCACGCTTTTGGAGGATTACCCTCCCATTTTTACAATTTATTATTGGGATGACGGTCAGGGCAAGGGTCATTTATGGTTTGGGATCTCGTGGGGGCGGTCAAGTGTGCGGTTCAGCTCGGGCCGAGAGCGTAGAACTGCAGAGGAGGCCGCGGGTCCTTGGGAAACCGAGAAGAACGACCCACGGGTCCTTGGGGCGTCGGCTCTGTGACCCGCAGCCTCGGGAGCCTCAGCAAGGACTCGACTTCTTTCTAGCAAGAGACCTAGACGCGCCTGCTCCCCCGGTTGCGGGTTGCGCGCACCCGACCCAGTCCAGGAGGTGCGCGGGGTCGGGTCGCGGAGGAGCAGCCCAGGCCCCGCCCGCGGGCGGGGGCGGCGCGCGCTCCGCGCACCGCGCGCACACCCGAGCGCGCACACCCTGCACACACACCTGGAGCTCGTCCCAGGAGGGGGGCGGGGAGGAGAGCCAAAGCGAGTGTCTTAAAATAGAGAGGCTGGCAGAGGAGCGCGAGACACCGCGAGGCGGGAGGAGGCGAGCGAGAGAGGCGGGCACGAGGCGTGCAGGTCCGCGGCCGACTTGCACGGGCGGGCTGGGCGGGGTGGGCGCCGACGCCCCTCGGCGCTGCTCGGCACCCGGCCCCGCAGGAAGCGCGCGCTGATTGACAGCTGCGCTGTCCCAAAAAGGCTCCGCGAAGATGCTGCTTCGCGGGTGGGTCTAGACGCGCGGCCGGCGCGCCCGGTGCCCGCTCCCCTCTGCGCGCCTCCCGAGCCCGCCGTCTCCCCGGCGGCCGAGGAGCGGGGCCCAGGCTCCCGCCGGCGCGCCAGTTCCTGCGGCCCTGGCCGGCAGGCGCTCTCCCCGGCTAACCATGCATTGCCACGCGGAGCTGCGGCTGAGCTCGCCCGGCCAGCTCAAAGCAGCCAGGCGGCGCTACAAGACTTTCATGATTGACGAGATCCTTTCCAAGGAGACCTGCGATTACTTTGAGAAACTTTCCCTCTACTCCGTGTGCCCGTCGCTGGTCGTGCGACCCAAGCCCCTGCATTCCTGTACCGGTAAGACGCCCTGCCAGTGGTGGGGGCATTAGTCGGGTGCGGTGGCTTTCCCGCGGGCGTCAGGCGCCTTCCCGCCTCCGTCCTCCCACCGGAGGGCGAGGGGATTCGGTGCCGGAGGGACTAGACTCGTCCGCGGCGGGCATCGCAGAGGCGTCGGCGACCTGGGACGGGCCAGGCAAGGTGTCGATCGCAAGGCTGGCGGTGGAGCGGAGGCGGCGGGCCCAGAGCAGCGGCCGCTCGTGCCACGCCGGCGCTCCTGCTCGGGGGAGAAAGCTTCCTCCTCCCCGGCGCCGCTGTGGTTTTCGGTCAGAAAGTTCAAACCCTTGACCCGGTTCAGCACCTAAATACTCTTTTCGGGAAGTGGTGGTGTTGCTGCTCGCCTTGAGTTCAGTTGTTCAGCCTCCTCCTGTCTCCACTGGGGATTTTACAAGTAAATCAGTGTCCTGAGGTTCTTAACCAAACCCTGAAATTGAACTTCACTTACAAGGCTCTCCCTCTGGGGCAGTAGTTCTGCCTGCAGTGCAAGCTGGGGAGATCACCCCCTTTTGGTTTTAAGGGACTGAAAAAAACAACAGTTATAACAATAAAAACATTCTTCACGTCTGGTTTCCTCTACCCACAAGAGCCTAACCAAGACTGCTAGGAAAGATAAAGAACATTTTATAAATACTTTGAAAAAGTCATAGGTTTATGTGGAAAGTAAATCCAAAGGTATTTTGAAAACTTTGAGTGCATTAAGAGAATATCCAAGTTTCAAAGTGCCCTGGCTTTATAAGGATTTAGGCTATGGAAAAGCAGGTATAGAAAAAAAAAAGAGAGAGAGAGAGAAGTTCAAGCAATTTTTTATCAAACATAGTGACTGTGCTTTCATCTAAAGGTAAAAATTTAGTATTTCCCAACTAAAAGAAACTTTGAGGTTATGTTTGTTGCATGGATGCCCTGAAAGGAAAAAAATTGTTACTTCCACTGAAAAAGTAAAGTGAAGAGCTAGCAGTGTTTTTAAAAGATTTTTTTTTTTAAATATCCAGGCCAGAAGCTTCTAGTGCACCATGCTTAGAATCCTGTATTTTCTTTTGATTTAATAGGTTGTCACTGTAGGACCATCAGTTAATAATGTATGTAAATACTTACAGCAAAGTTCTTTGAAAACCAAGTTGTTTCCACATGTATTTGGTAATGAAATGATTACAATATTAAGGTATGCCTTTGTAAAATAAATTTTATCTGTAAGGTAGAATTGGGCCTGATAGCCCATAACAGGACTTATAATATTAAATTTTAAGGACCAAGAAGTATATGAGAGAAGAAACAAATAAGAAACTTTGGAAATAAGGTAGATATCCTTGATGTTTATATTTTTACATTTATGTGCTTGCCATGCATATATATACCCTTGAATGAGTAGTCTACCTGTATATTAGATAGGGGAGGTAGGCTGAGTCTTGTGTTGAGCATAAATCATCACTTGTTATAATAAGTCAAACCTCCTTGAGGGGAAAAAAAAAAAGATTAATCACAAATTTCAGTACACCCTGCTACGAATTGCATTTCTGCAGGACCTAAGGAGGAAACAGAACAATTCTGAATATTTGAGGTCAGTTCAGGGCTGGCACAGTTTTTAATGACTTTGTCTTCCGCATTGACCCGAAGGCAGATTTTCCTGGCTTTCAGCAGTCACGGAATGGGATCATAGTAAAAACGTGCTTAAAAAAAAAAAAAAAAAAGTAATAAATAGTCTCAGAAAACAGTGATCCAGTCATCAATAGGGGCTAAGTTCTGTGTTTTACTGAGCCTCGTATGGAAATAAGTCAGAGGAAAATAAGATGATTCATAGGTAGTTTTGAGAATGTTAAGGGTGAATTGCACATGTATCACGAACTAAAAGTTTTGCTTGGTCTTGGGCTTTTAAGTTCATTGATGGTTTGTGTGAAAGGGTGGTTGTTGCTAATGGTTTTCTTGCCCTGTCATTCCAGTGTTTACTTCCTTTAGATGGTTCTTACGAAAAACGTTGTGATTTTGTGCTCATTGAAATTTAAAATACAGAAAGTGGGATTTGCCAGTGGAATTAAACCCGTAAAAACTGGCTACAATAGTCCATACTTGCAGGTCATAAGCCTTTAGTGGGTTTACAATTACAGTTAAAGCCTTACATGTATTAGATCATGGGAATCCCATTAGTGACTTCTCAAGGGTTTTGCAAATACCATGCTTTCAAAGCATTTTTGTTGTTTTTAACAGTTAAGATCAAAATGTTCAAGATCAAAAATCTTAGACTGGATAAATTTAATCTTTTTTTATTAATTAAAAATGGCATTAAGTTAGTGGCTTCCTACGTTCAATACAACTATATATGTATGTATTTACATATGTATGTATATATGTATATATATATGTATTTTTTTTTTCTGGATAGAGATAAATATTTAGCGCTTTTGGTAGAACCGATATGTAAAAAGTTCAAATCCAGTGGAAGGCATACAATGGAGTTGAAATTACTGAACTTGTCCTCATCCATTGATTTGCTGTTTTTAAGATTTAAATAACTACCAAAGTGAACTTTGCCAGGTAAAATAATGAAATAAGATTAAAAAAAAATTATCACCCTGCACAATAAGCATATAAAATTGGGGTGAAAAAAAAAAAGCTACAGCATTTAAGAAGCCTCTACATAATTAAGCAGTCCACATTGTTTAGATTTAGTAATCCAAATGCCAATTTATGGTACTGAAACTCCTCAGGCAGAAGAGCATGTCTTCAAGTAAATTGAGAAATGGAAACATTTTTCATTAGGCAGATCATTACCTGAAAGCAGTTTATTATTAGACAGGCTAACCTTGATGGAATGCTCACCTCCAAAAAAAAAAAAAAAAATTGTTGTTTATTTAAACAGGCCCTTTCTTATTACAAATACAGTAATTTTAGGCTTAGAAGGCTGTCTCTAAATTTATTTAAGTTTCCCAAGAGATGTTCTACATCACAAACTAGACAGTGAGAAAGGGGATCCTGTCCTTTGAAGGCAAACTGAAGGAACATTTGTCATTAGATTTAAAATAAAATTTACAACACCACGTCCAAAGAGAGCCTCCATTTGAAAGAAAAGTTTGTTGCTTGGACCCCTGATGAGGTGTGAAATATGTTTGGGATTTATTTAGTATATAACACGTTGGTTTTATTTTTAAATGTGGTAACAGACATCCCCATTTGGAATGGAAATATATTGCCATTTAGAAATCGGTTAACAATCTCTCAGAAACATTAGAACTTTGACAGTGAGTAAAAGCTAAAAATAAGGTACCGTTTAGGCTGTCATAAATACTGCTGAACTTTTGAGTGCATGATTTCATTTTTCTGGTCGTGATTACTGTTTCTTGGTGGAAGAGTTGCTCGAAGAAATCTGGCTTCTCAGGGTGGAGTACGGGGCAGAGATGCCGGCGGGTCATTTTTGAAGGCTCTGTCTTTCAGTTTGATATTTAGAGACAGAGGGTGGAAAAGATGAATGGCCTGCTTCACGAAAACAAAGGCATAACAATTTATCCTACGAGTTTTCTTGAGGATACTGAGAAGCCAGCCTGCTGTGCTAATTACTTACAATTCTGATATTTAAACTTAGAACCTAGAATGACCCTAGCCTTGCCCATGTGCGTTTTGCAGGGGAAGGTGAATATAGATATTTGGACATTGTGCTGCCTGGGACCCACACATGGGTCCCGCTTTTTATTAACCCACTGAAACCTACAGATGAATTTCTTTCTCCTTCCCTGGGGGAATGGTTCTGTTGGGTCTCCTGGGAACCTTCACTGGCTGGCCTTGTAGAACCAACTGTGGAGGTACGGAGCTGGAAGGGGTCACAGAGATCACAGACCAATCTCCCGGAACACAGTGTCCTTTTTTTGTGAGGCGCTAGGGTCTCATCAGAGCTTAGACACCATTTTAGTCCACGCTCTGCACAGCCGTCCTTGTTAGGGTACTCAGAAATCAGGAAGACTTTTCCAACCTGGTCACATACCCGGGATAAGTCTGGGCACTCGCCCCCAAGGGACAGTCAACCAGCCAGTTAAGAGGGGCACTTGGGGAAGGGTGTTTATCTGAAGAGGTGGCATTGAGAACATTTTATGCTTTGGTGGATCCAAGAGAAACAAATTCTTTGGGGTGGTGTCTTTGGGTTCATTTTATCACAAAGATTGGGTGTCATCCCAGTGAAAAATGAAATGAGGTGGGGACACATGTAATGACTTCTTAGGAGTTAGGCGGCCAGCCATTGCTTCGTGGGGTTGGCTCCCGGGACTCCCCAAATCTCAGTGTGGTCTTTCAGTCTGAGACTAAAACCCTCAGGGTTCTAGTCTCAGGGTTGGGGATTGGAATGTAATTCCATTGGAATGGAAAAAGGTAGACTGGGGTTTGGGAGGGTGACCATTATCAATAGGCATGTGTATTTCTGCCAGAGGCAGATGGGCATTTATTAGTGATTATTTGTAACTGCTCCTCCTGTTCCCATTCTCAGGGTAAACAAATCGAGGTATGCACAGGCTATAGGACTCATCCAGAGTCAGAGTGGATCTGGAGCTGAGCTCTTTGGGCCTCCTCAGTTGTTGTCTCATTTACTCCTTCAATTTTATAACTCCTTTGTGAAACAGAGAGTCTGAGGGGCTCCCCAGGGAGTCTGTTTTAACTGGTGAATATAGCTTCTCACCGGTTTCTTCTCTGGTTCTGATTTCCCTAATAACCAAGGGGAAAATTATTAGAAATTTAGTCCACAGGTTAAAATGCCTCTCCAAATGTCTGCAGTCTTTAGTATCATTGAATTCAGCAATTTCATTCAACACATCTTCATTCTTGCTCGGTGATGGCACTGTTAACGAGTTCATTACGTTCCCGTTTACTCTAAATCTTGACTCACAGTTGGGATACTTTACAGATTCCTCTAAACTATCTGTAGAACCACTGCCAAACCCTTCTTTGTCGTTTTCTAGAACATACTGGGCAGTTTGGCATTGGGACCG